AGAAAGTTCATCCAGATTTTCCGGCGCCGCTCCCCCTTGTCAGTGATGAGGGACGGAGGGCCTGACAAGGACAGCCGTCTAGTCTTTCGGATGGTACACAAAACCAAGGTCCCGTGTACACATTGGCGTGCACGTAGAAATCCCTTGACAGTTGGAATTCGATATAAGAGTAGGCCGTAGTGCCGCTGTCCGAGCAAAACTTCCCTCATAGCACACTGTATGGGTATACCCGTTTTCATTAGCCCAGTTCGGAGCAGAACAGTAGGGTGTTAAACCCCATTTCATTTCATTTCATTGCTATAAAACATGAATAGTCCCCAGGCAAACAATGCAAACTCAAACCCCTTTTTTCGTTTCTACACCAAAAAGTCAACAAAATTCCCCGTGCAAAACAATGATATTAGTATTTCATCTTCTTAGAGAAGTCAACGTCTGAATTGCAACACGTGTCATGTCCCTAATTCTGGTCAAGTGTTTTCTATGTTTTGTATTCAAATAACGTTCTGTTACGCAGCAGTAAAACATCGCCTCTACAAGATTTGATGACAACAAATACCTCGTTTAAATGCATCAATCTATTCCTTAATGTAATGTGGATAATCCAAGCGGTATATTTCTGTATGATATTATGCAATAAAGAATCGTGTAATTCTTTGTATGATACTATCTTGGTCCAGAATTCACGACCTTGTTTAGCTGCAGTTTGTATTCATCTTGTATTGGAAAAAAAGCCATCCTGCCAATAATAATGTTAACACAAAACCCAATTTCTTTTGCACTGTCTTTTTATGACTAATGCATGTTGTGTAGAATTATAAACGCTGTCCCGCAAGGATAGTGATAAAAAATTCACGACTCTTATTGCCCTTTCAAGTACAATGATTGCTCATCCATCAAATTCAAAACTCATCCAAATGAAAACCAATAACAGAGGTTTATGGCAGCATCTTCGAAAAACATATTTTTTAAAATGGCTATTTCGAACGGGGAGCCACGGTGGCTCAGTGAGTAAGACGTTGGCCGAGAAAGTTCATTGGGATTTTCCGACGTGGTTCCTTCTTGTCAGTGGTGCAGGACCGAAGTCTCGTGTACACATTGGCGTGCACGTAAAAGATCCTTTTGCAAATGGGATTGATATAAGAGTAGGTCGTAGCCTGTAGCCCAGTTGGAGCATAACACTAGGGTGTTGAACCCAATTTGATTTCATTTCTATTTCGGACGCTTACTCCGGTTGTACGTGACAAGAAGTAGGGTCGCCTGTCTAACCTCTTGGGTCTTCTCCCGGTCCTCCGGTTTCCTCCTCTAGCGAGCGAATTATTGAAATAAAATTGAACCACATGTTAGTCCCGAAATGACCTAGTTTGTGTCGAGTGGACGTTAACCCCCCCCCCTCTCGCTCTCTCTTTGATGGGATCAGTCAGACTGTAAGAAAACGCATCTTCGAAAACCAAAGTAACTCCATCATTTTGGTTTCGTTAAAAGGAACAAATAACAAATGGTATTTAATGGCATACGATGATGATAAACAGCCAGACAGCAAGTAATAAAGAAGGAAGATAACATCAGGTTTTACTGAAGTGATGATGCGCTAATCGTTGATGCAGCATCCCTTTGTTTATAAAACATCGAGGCATGTTTCTCCCGTAGTCACACCTAACTAGCCAATAGCATTTATCAATATTTATTCAGCTGTTTTTATCATATCATACTAGATAATATCTGATAAAACTTTCAGATTAAATCTTACAGAAATATCTAACAGTTGCCCAGTGTTCTTGTTAAAAATAACACTAACTGGAAGTAGTTGGTGGGTTCAGTACGTTGCTGATTGTCATCATTTGAACGGCTGTACTCGAGTTCACCTGTCTATCGGGGCTAATTAAAACAAAGAGCCACATTAAAGTGTCTAGCAAATTTTTGAAGGTTTTTATGTACTCGTATGTGTTTTGATTAAAGATTTTACAGTTAGCTACAGTTAAGTTTGCCAGGGGTGGTCATTGCGTTTAAAACTCTACGAGAAACAAAACACAACATACATCAAACATACTTAAACTGTAAATTGTGACAAAGCACAACATACATCAAACTTACTTAAACTGTAAATTGTGACAAGAACACCACTCGACTTGTATTCTTCTACAGTCCCAGCAGACAAACTTTTTTCAATGCTGGAGACAAAAAGTGCTGCCGCCGGACAGTGCTAACCAGGGCTGGCCCTTATTGTGGTTTGTTTACAGAAGGGAAGGGACAGTGAACAATTTTTGAAACTTAATTTTAGAAATCTGAGTATAGCAAATCAATCAAAATTAAACACATTTAATGTGAAAATGTGTTATTTTACATAATGAAAGGTTTGTTTTATTGAACATGGACTAGTGTAGAATAAATACACTCTGGAATAATCTTTAAAACTAATTAATACCGGAAAACATCAATATAAATAAAATGGGATGAAACTATCATTCTTAAACTAAATGATAGCTGCATATATATATTGGAAATTATTGTCCATGTGTCGTGCACGAGGAAGGGTGGTCTTACGTATTCTTACACTAAGATAAAATCGAAATTTTAAGAAATACTGCAATTCGATTGGCTGACCGGTAAAATCAATTTACATATATCCAATGAAGTTGCAGTATTTCTTAAAATTTCGATTTTATCTTAGTTTAAATTTTCGTGAATAAGGGCCCTGATACCACTTCGTATTTGAGAACTTAGATACGTAACAATTTCTGAGAAGATCTAGTTGCCAACACTATCACAGTGGTCGTTTTTACAGTGCATCCCTCTTTTCAAAGTTGCTGCACGTAAAAAGTTCAAACCATGATCTTCAGATAGGTATGAAAAGACCCCATAGGAAGTCTTCTCTGTGAAACATTTGAGTTTAATACGCCATATTCATGTTAGACAAAAACGAGATCGGGATAGGTGAAAATCTAATAGAAAATATCTTTATTTCACACGAAATAAATCCCAAAAAACTTCTTTAAGTTCAAAGATTGTGAAATAAATTCGTGTTCAAATTTTGGAAATGATTCAAATCTCCCCCATAAAAGTAGTATTAAGCAAATGCTTATATTGTGTGCCATCAAATATTGTGTTTGAAATCCACGAAGACATGGTTTGCTGTGAAAACACACGTTATTGAACTGAGATAAAATAATCCATAATTACATAACGCGGCCAGGAAATTTACTAAAGAAATGTTAGACTTGTGAAGAATGTCCTTACACCATTCACTATCTAATCTAGTAAAGTCTTTAGAAATGATGCCGGCGACCCAGTGAATAGCAAGTTAACAAGAAGGGGAAATATCACCAACATCTCGCCAAGTAAACATTGGAAACCGTCTCCCTTAGTTCAATATCTATACTTGCTGGATAACATAGCATCGACCCTCGTTCCACGAAACGTATTTCCCCTCCGGTCTCTTTCCTTGCCAGTCTATTCATGACAATTCGCATGATTTATGGTGAAGACATTTGAATACCGAGGTCCACGGCGTGAACTTTACTTGAGAGGTATTTACTTACACACAGTTGCATTCAGTTCCAGTTATTTATTAATTGACACTTACTTTTTCCATTAGACGACTTAAATCTTCACAAAAGCCAAGGACAGATAACTCTATCAGAAATCCAGTTTTATTCACGTCACGAAGACATGGCAGAATGAAGGGAAGCGGTACAATATTGTCTTGTAAAATTCAATTTTTACAAGTAGTTTGCAGTTGACTTAATTAGTGAAGAGGCGTTTCGTTAAGGTTTATAACTAACTAATCAATAAAACATGACATGTGACAAATTCAAGATTTGGCGAAACACCGACAAATTGGTATTTCTCTGAGAAATCGTCTATAATCAGAGAGAGAGAGAGAGAGAGAGAGAGAGGGGAGGGAGAGCGAGAGAGAGTTTAACGTCCACTCGACAAAAACTAGGTCATTTCGGGACTAACACATGGTTCAATTTTATTTCACTAATTCGCTTACGAGTAGGAGCCTTTATCAGTGAGAGGAAACCGAATGACCTGGAGAAAACCCACGAGGTTGGACAGGCGACTATACTCCTTGTCGCGTACAATTGGGGAATCGAAACTACGCCAGATGACTCAATGAGAGACCTTATGCTACAGCGCGCATGCCCTAACCATTCAGCCATCCAACTACCCTTCTTTAATCAATCATGGTGTTAAAATAGTTGATATTAAAAAGGACTTTCACCAACCCCCCCCCCCCCCCGCAAACAAATGTGGTCAATTTTGAAGAATATCTGATAGAAATAACCACAGACTTCTCTGATCATAGCCTAATGCATGACATATTTGAACGAGTGTTCGGATGAACAATTACTCTTGTCTGCTTTACTTTCTGTGTTGTTCGCCTACTTTATATGCTGTGGTTGTTTCCCTACTTTACTTTTTGGGGTTGTTGTCTACTTTACTTGCTGGGGTCATTTCCCTACTTTACGTGTTGGGGTCATTTCCATACTTTACTTGTTAGGATTGTTTGTCTACTTTACTTGCTGGGGACATTTCCTTACTTTAGCAGCTAGGGTTGTTTCCCTACGTTATTTGCTGGGATATATTGCCTACTTTACTTGCTGTGGTTGTTTCCCCACTTTACTTCCTGTGGTTGTTTCCCTACTTCACTTTCTGTGGTTCTTTCCCTACTTTACTTGCGGGATTGTTTGCTTGGATTGATTGCTTGCTTTACTTGCTGGGGTTGTTCGCCTGCTTTACTTGCTGGGATTATTCGGTTAATCATGCTGAGAAATTAAGACTTGTTCATCAATATTATGCATAGCCCCTGACAACTTGAAAGCCATCCTTCAAAGTGCTACTGGCGGACGTGTACACTTTTTCGACCACCGGTAAGCCCAGCTTCAATGTTTAAGAGTAGGGCCTATAGACGAATTGTTATAAAGAACCAACCCACCATTCTTTAATTTCTGCTGTTGAAAGGTTTATGACCGAATGCCAACAAAATTTAATAACCAATATTTGAAATAACTAATAATACTTTATTTGCATATTATAACAAAACTTTATTAAACATGGAAGCACCATACAACTCTCGGTCACGGATTGCCTTTAAGGACAACATCCACAGATAATTAAACCGCCTTTGCTAGAAAGCTTGGAGGTTTAATGGTACAGAACTCATTAAAGCAGCATTATAACAATATGTCTACCACCGAACTGCAATGATAACAAATGACTGTAAAGTCCATTAGTTTGACTATTTTACTGAGAGAAAGAAATACAGATTGGAATTTCTTAAATAAAAGAACGAATAAGGAAATTTTAATTGTTTATCGTACGTTTAACTTTTAAAATCCATTAGCAATCGATCACAAGCAGATTAAATCGAAATATAGGAGGAACCCCACCAAGTTATGTCTATGAAGCGGATTAGGCTAGACGATAGAAGAGGTATCGGGTATTTTGGTTAAGCCTGCATATCGTACGACAACTGCCACCCGAATTTGAATATTTTGACAGAAGCATATTGAGATCCCCACTCACACTTAAGGATTATTATGTGCATGGTTTAAGTCAAATAAACGGAATTTTCTTAATGTAATACCCAAGATAATTCGATCGTTCATTCAAACACATAATATAGTTCTTTAAATCTTATGCCATTTTCTATTTTCTAAGCACATACGATAGAGTCTCTGAACGTCATTTGAGGGATTCGGGAATCACTTGCAAACTACAATATTGTGAAAGTTGGGTCTTTAAAAGGAATAACAGTTAAAAAGTTCTGATGAAATGAAATTTGTCAACATTCGCCACCCCCTGCACACGATGTATACGGGATATGTCAAAGGCAGCACCACCTATATAATCTCTGCTAAAATCTTTTGATGGGCCTCTTTTTTAATCAGATTGAATTCAAGCCTGGAGATTATTAACCGTTGATATTTTTCTTAACTAAATGTTAAATAATCAATTTGAGTACAATTTAACGTGAATTAATCCGAAAAATGCAAATGACGTACAGAGACTATATATACCCTTGGGATTCACCCATTACAAATGGTAACCAAAAGTCTCCCTTTACCAACCAAAAAAGATACCTTTTAATGAAAAAATATCTGAATATTCAAAAAGTGTGAAATATAAATTTATGTGCAACATTGCTTATTATACGTATGGAATTATTCTTCTGCAGAGTTTCAATACTTTGCTGAACACCATCTTAAAAGGCGATGTTGTGATTCTGTACAATTAAAATAAGCATTCGGATAATGACAAAGCAATTCGTACAGCATATATAAGTCAGCAGCAAACAAAAACTGGGTTCCATATCTCTAACATTATATTAAAATGGTTTAATAAATAACTGTATTGATTTGGTAATAATTTAAATAACAAATATATCCTTTATCATTTACATATTATCACTTTACAAATAAATATTGTTAATATACAAATAATATATAAATACAGTTCATTTATGTTTATATATAAAGATGATGAGAAATGGAAATATAGACAAATGATGCTAAAGTCAGTTTTCAGCCAAATTAAATAAAAGATACGATATTGATCTCGGTTTGTCGATTGTGTTGTCTAAATCAATCCCGGAACAATCGATTAGGTTTGAAGGGGTTCAAGTTCCATCTCGTCATATTGTAGATACCCGTCTTCATTATGTTCATATAACTGGGGTTCTTAATAATACCCACCATCTTATTCTTCGTAAATATACCCAATCAGTTGATTACGCTAACCAAATGCATTAAACGTGTCACAAAATATGATCCCATGGCCCTTATTGTATTCCGAGAACATTAAGTGACGTAGTAGACTAGTAGGCGATAGGCAATCCACTTTTAATATGGAAATGAAAATCGGTTAGTGGGTGACCAAGAAATTATTGGTGACCATTTACGAATTCAATATTCTAGATATAAAGAACCCATTACACCGTGTCCTTAACGACTTATTAGAAATTCCAAGCATGCTGTTCCATACGGGATTCGACTCGACAAAACCGGCAGCAAATATCAAATAATTACAGAAGAATAGTGCTATATAATATTATCAGCTTAATATATATAGTGGTACAGATTTGGCAAACATTTTTAAACAAAAACAATACCCCACCCCATAATAATAATAAATTAATAAAACATGTTTAGAACATTGGTAATTTGTGTGAGCACAAAAGTATTGTTTTTAGCGATTTTAATCCGAATTCTTAATAATTTATCAAAAAATTTAACAATATCGACCTGCTGGTAAGACTGATAACCATGGGTGTTCAAATGCAATGCTTGTTTAAGCTAAAATCCCTGAAATTTTGAACCAAAAAAACTTTTTTTTTTCTTTACAAAATCTTCATCTCATTGTTATCTGTTTCAGTAATAAATTGAACATGATACATCTGTTAAATCGAACACTCGTGGTTAAAAGAAAGTTTATTAATATACACATATTAATATACACATATTAATACACACATATTCCCGATGTATCGGAGGTATTTAAAGGTAATCTGGGATCGTATAGAGATGGGGCATAAAGAAATATACTAAGTGTTCCAGTAAAACACGCTGTTGTAAATATATATAAAAATAATCTATCCATCACCATAGCAATATACTTCCAATCTCTTACTTCCTGAAACGATAAAATCAGAAAAAATACATAAATTTCATTCATTTAAACAAGTTTATGGCGAATGATGAAGCTGATATTCTACAAAATTGTGCAATTTTCGTCATTCTCAGTTCACCTATACGTTTGTCGGAGTAGGTATTTTGTCTGAGTGGGTATTTTGTATTAGTGGGTATTTTATCGGGAGAGTATTTTAGCTAAGTGGGTATTTAATTTGAGTGGGTATTTCGTCTCACTGGCTGTCATGTTTAGTGTGTGCTTGTGTAGTGCGGTCATAGTGGTTTTACTGTTAGCAGAACTAACAGATCAAAAAATAGATAATTTCTAAGACTGAGTGACATTTGGTATGTTAGTCAGTCGTGCTGTCGGCAAGTAAAGATGATTTAAATGTCTTATATTATCGCCCTAAAGAAACTACCCCAAGCCATCGGGAGAAATGAAATGAGGTTTAACGAAGCCTGGGCTAATGGAGACGGGCATACGCCATACAGTGTGCTATAAAGAGAATTTAGCATACTATTATATCTAATTCCGACCGCCAAGGGTTCTTTTGCGTACACTCCAATATGTACACGGGGCCTAGGTTTTCCGTCCCATCCGGACGACTATACGTTGTCACTTGCCAGGCCCGGCCCTGCGTCACCGACAAGGGCGAACACCGAGAACGAATACGGGACCTCCGGGTTAGCTAGCAACTTCTCTTACTCACTGAGCCAACGTGGCTCCCAGCTATAGAGAAACTATTAAACAAAACAAATTGCCAAGATATACATATATCTATATTGAAATTCAAAACCGGAACAGACCTTCAGTCATAGGATACAATAATTGTGTACGTAGGCGACATGTTTAACCACCATTTATCTTCTGTTTTCAAAAGAGCTTACAAAAGACAGAGTTTGTTTGTACTTGTCTGTTCGCTATCGGATACCGATCATCTGAACTTATACATTTTAAAACAACTCCATAATAACCAAGGTGTAAATGGAATTTAAATTTAGTACTGTATTTAATGATCTGATTGGTCATTAATGATTATTACGTCATTATGGTGGGAAATGCTCACTAGTCCGCGGGTTTATTAGTCTGCAGGGTTCATTAGTCCACCGATATCTATTGGGTAGGGTTGGTCCACCGATATCTATTATTAGGGTTATTGATGCCCATATTATAGTAATTCTTATAGGGACGGACTAGTGCACCTGCGGACTAGTGAACCCCTCTCATTATGGTTGTCAGAAAAAGGGATTTTTTTTCACCCTTGCAACGCAAAGAATATTCATCACTGATTTTCCTTGCCGTGGCATATGTTCTCTAAGTCTTGATGCGTGCGACTATCACTACAATAAACAAACTCAGTTGCATCATGTCTTTAACAGAAAAAGCACTTGCAATTGCACAGTTGGCAACAAAACCAAATAAAAACCGCAATGATGCTCAAGAAAATAGCCGATTGTAGGATTACAATGCCTGTAAATGCCGTATGTTGACCTTTTATCATAGTACCAGCATTTCCCTGGGCGTCCTGTTTTAGTAAAGTATTGTATACTATAAAGAATACAGCCACACAACACGAACAAGGAGAATATAGGAGGATTCCGAGGAGAATAATTAAGCGCGTAGACACATTCAAGCTCATTGAGGGTTAACTTAACGAGAATTTATAGTCATGGTGATCACCAAACCGGGTAATGTTCGGACTGAGGCTTACTTCACGTTTACTTATACACGATCTAAATAACTAAAAACCAAGAAGATTTTCTATTAACCCATAGGTACTGTGGTTAAATTAATATGAATACATTTAATTTAAAGACATAAATGAGTTCAGATTTCAACATAACCAAACTCTTAACTACATGTATGTTATCCTTCCGCCTCAAAATCTGGAACCACTAAAACTTAGTAGAAAATGCAAATTCAAATACCTTTCTCCGATTTTCTCGCAAAAAGTCAAAATATGTAAATGAAATGGAATGGGGTTTAACGTCCTACTGTTCTGTTCAGATTGGGCTAATGAAGATGGGCATACGTCATCCAGTGTGTTAGGAGGGAAATTTTTCCCGGGCAGCGGCACTATGGCCTACTCTTATATCGAATTCCAACTTCTAAGGGATTTACGTGCATGCCAATGTATACACGGGACCTCGGATTTTTGTGACATCCGAACGACTAGATAGGGGTCCTTCTCAGGGAGAGGAAGGCTATAAATATACGGAACTGCAGCAGGAGTAGATAAAATAATGATTAATGTCCACTTCAACAGAAGGTGATATCGCAGACAAAAGGATCTACAATTCGTGGCCTACTAATTGAGAGGAATTATTGGTGGTCTCTATCCAGCCAGGTATCAGTACCGAGTTAAACAATCTATTACAATGGATGATACCTGGGACCAATTCGCAATTCCAACATAAAACTCTCTGCCTTATCCAAATATTTTAAAGTCGCCGTTAAATATGAAAGTAAATATTAGATACGCGATATCGATCCATATACTTTTAATACCCAAAACAACCGGTTTAAAATGACACAAATATTACACTATACAAAATCAATAACACCCAGTAACACCTGTTACTTCTAGAGTCAATATCATAGACAAGCTGTTTATAATCTTAACCTTAATTATCTACATGTAAAATATGCTAGACTTATATTTCAAGAAAGTTTGCCACGTGCTCTAGTTAATATATTTAGAAAGAATATAATGTAGCTATAGTGTTCATAGAGAAATATATTACTAGGATCCTTAGTTAAGTACTTAATTACCCTTATTTCATATTAGATTAAGGACATCTAACAAATATGCAGTAACTTTGATATATTTATATATCTTTGTATAATTAATATATTATTTTGAACATCAACTGCTGAGCATTTTTTTATGAAGTTTATGTTATTAATCTGTTTGTCTCACGGTTAGGACTGTTTCTATTGTCGTTTTGCTTCAGAATAAAATATAGAGTGGAAATTTAATTGTTTTAGCATGCATATAGGGCTACGCAAATTAGTAATTTTACAACGTGAGAGATACTGGATAATCCAGAGAAAGTGTCTCGGTTGACACAGCGATCGAACAGGACTTCCCAGGTAAGTAAGCCATGGTCACCGTTGTATTTGCCTGCAATAGACATATTATAATAATAGTAAAAATACTGAAAAAATGATCTTCATATCATATTATTTATATTTAGCTAATTAAAACAAGACGCCTCTACGATTTCGATACAGCATTGAAGAACACGAAAAAGCAACTAATGAGTTTGAGTAACGGTAGCTATTAACATACCTCGTTGGAAGCTCAAAACATTACACTACTGTGTGCATCATTGCATCATGATTCCGCTTTTGGCACTTTCAAAATGAATAGTCTTTATTGGATACAGAGATGTTATGTAATTTTAGACCAATAGTGATTTATCCATGAATCAAATTTACATCCACGCTTTCTTGCTGATGATACGAATTTTTAAGTAAATTAGAAATAATCAGGACAATTAAGGAGAGGGGTTCTCTCGGGGTAACGAGAAACCAGATCAATTCAGTCAAATCCATAGGCCTTTTTATTGAATTATTTATGTCTACCCTTTTTTTGATCTAAATACATTTTACATTTTGTCTGCTTATTAACGGCATTATGCTGTACTTTGGTTTTAACTGACACGAGTAGCCTTTTTCTACTGCACGTTATTAGACGAATTTCCTGAAGCATTCAATCGCCAAGAGACTCCAGGGAATTTTATTGCACAATATTAACTTAATTCTATGATCAAAGAAACCATAATTGAAGCTAAACTGAACGGGTACAATTCAGTTAGCTATCATCACATTTTTGATTTTCGGATTACTAGTCATACTTATTGTCATATGACGCGAATTTGTCGCGCGTTTTACGTTCCCTTTGTCCCTTAAACCCAATCAGTCCTCAGATGTGATTGACAAGCTGTCATAGAAATCGATACTAATCACAAAAACGGGAACCAAAATTGGCACCACCGTCGTCATTTGGCATCATCATCCAGCAAGTAGAAGTTCCTTTACTAGACTATTGTTTGCCTCATTGAATTATCGTTTTCTTTACTTTTAGCCAAGTCTTCAATCAAGTTGTTACTTGTTGTCAGGTTACGTGTTTATACCCAATCGATACCAGCCTAGCTCAAACTTTTTTTTATCCCCTCCACTCTACATAGCTAGAGAGAAAAACATGCGAATTTCCCGCCTAATTAACTTGTCCGGTACCTTAGAAATCAGGGAAGCGGCAACTCGGCTGTCAATTTGTCCACCAACTGGTTGAGTTGACTGATTGTAAAAACTTGACTGATTAGATCGAGCTCAACCCGTTTTCTGTCGATAAACAAATCTAATTTAACAAGTTTATTTTTTCCCGCCAACTGGGATGTGTTATTAGATAATGAGAACGACTAACGGCCAAAACAGGCGTTATTTTATTAGTGAGAATAACGGTAGAAACATTCGTTGGACTCTTACAAGACTAGTATCGTATAATAGAACTTTATTAGGAAAATTTAATCAAGTCGAGAAAACAAATAAGTTCTAGTGTATTGGATAAAAAAGAGTGGTAGTTGAGATTTGCAAAGACATGATCTAAATACAAAGTACTAAACCAGATTTGATGTTCGTGCAAACATAGAAGTTGTAAAAGACGGTGGGTGCTTTAGATGTGTTTGTAATAGTATTATTTCGTTACTAGACACAGGGGGGGGGGGGGGGCATGGCTGAATGGTTAGCACGTCGCGCTGTATCATTAGGTCTGTTATTGAGTCAACTGGCGTGGTTTCGATTCCCCGGTTGTACGTGACAAGGAGTAAGGTCGACTGTCCATCCTCGTGGGTTTTCACCCGGTCCTCCGGTTTCCTCCCACTGCTAAAAATCCCCACGCGCATGCGAATTATTGAAATAAAATTAAATCATATGTTAGTCCCGAAATGACCTGTAATCTAATGTATTCTGATTAAAAACGATTCTACCCAATCTGCAAATATCGGAGATTTAGGCCTGTTAAGTCAAATTATGCAGATATAGTTTGAGTTAATTTATGACATTAAAACCATATCAAATGAATCGATTTAACATGACCCCATTTCCCCCGAAACCCAAACAAAATGTGCAACGCTTACACAAAATGAATGGAAGGTGGCATTTTAAATTAGATATCCTATATTTAGATTACGTGACCAGTCGTGAAAAATCGAAAATTAGGCTTGAATTATATAGTGTTGCCATTTATGTTGTTAGCGCCGAGCTGTCTTTAGCAAAGGTTGCAGATTTGACATAGACGACCCGTACACATCCCCGGTGTCACCAGTGCCATCGTTCCGCTCTACGCCACTAACTTCTAGGTCCATTCGTGGGGTATTCATGAATTCTAATTGTCGGCCCTTGATCATTTCATTGGCCAGGTAGTTTGATTCCGCCAACCAATCAAAAAACAGTTTACATACCAGTCTTGACACCATTGTTTACGTTCATCACAATACAGCAACTTCTACGCTGGATTATGAGAAAGTTTGGAAGAAATTTGATATCGAAAAGGTGACATGTACACAAAAACATTTCCTAACATATTTTAATAAAGTTTACAACAAAGATTCGGCGATTCGCCCACTCACTCTCTATTTATCGAATTTTTGATTGGTCGATAAAAAACCCAGAAATATCAAGGACGAATAATTTGACTATGTATTTCCCCCGTGGATGGACCCAGTGGTTAGTAGAGTTAAACGGAACGATGTGTCTGGGGATACCGAGGATTACTCGTAAGCGGCTTGGCATAAAAGGCCTATGGGAGATTCATTCGCACGTATGGGATGCGGTGCTAAATAACTTTTAAAGATAAACTTATTTTGGGCGTCAGATTCAAGCTTAAAGAAATAGCTGAACTTCCTGACAGAAATTGATCATAAAACAACAACCTCGGGTACTTTGGGGCTTCTGTTTTCTTTCGGAATTTAAAAGAAATAATTTAGAAGCTTTGTTTCCATTGTGACTACATGTTACCAACATGTAGGTCTTTCTTCTAAAACCTGATAGTCCATCAATAGTCAATATAGTATTGATGTGTCTGCTTCAATAGATACACACGTCTGCTACAGACATGTCCTCAAGTGGCTGGTCATTCTTTAAAATCTAATGGAATCTTATTAAGAAAAAAGAAGTCCGCCACGTAATATTCTTAAAAGATTTGAGACAGAAGTGAAAGCCTGTAGATGTCTGGTAGGTGCCAATCACACATCTCTCTCAGTAATTATACTTCTTACATCAAACAATCGCAACGCCGAGCTCAATCTGATTTCTCCAGGTCGAGACACACGATAATCTTTTATTGAAAATCATCACCATATGGAAGAAACATGATTTCGTCACATGATTTATGCCCAACTCTTTACCAATAAATAGTTAATATTTTGTCTATATGTATAAAACACCACGAGTGCCATGAAGGGGACAGTGTGGGCTTACTTGATACCACGCTCACTAATCAAGAAATCCCGAGAACATGACCGGTGTTGGCCCAGAAGGTTCCTTGGGCTTTTCCAGTATGGTATCTCCTTGTCAGTGATTTAGGGATTTAGAAAGCGTTTAGACGTTCGAGTGGTACGAAACAGTGGGTTTCTGTTACTGCCGACTATTGCATGCGTTATGTTGTGTTTAGTCATCAAACTGCGTTGATTAATGGATAGGTAGCTATTTAGGCAATTAGTGTATATTATTGTCAATGAAAAATCAACAGGGACGGCATATTCATATAACTTTTTAAATTCAAAATGGACCCCTAAGGAAAATCTTTGTAAATAAAACCATTTAAATGTGTTTCTGGATGACCGTGTCTGTATATTGGTAAGTTATCGCCGCGATTATCAAGTTACTCATGCAATTCACCAATGAAATGTCTTTAATGAATTACCTAAGCCCGTTAAGCAAATCTGCAGATTATTTCAGAGCGGTTCGATATGAAACTTTCATAGCTGGTAACTAACTCACATCTTTACAATTTGGCCTTTGACTTGAATATAATAAAAACAACTTTTATTAGTAGTTACCCTGTGAAATCTGAAATATACTTACCGCATTTTCTTCATCTGCTTTTCTTAAATTATCTGCTATTGTCTTTACACCAGTCAAGGCCTCCATGACACCAGGTGAATACTTACTGGTACAATTAACATCCACACTGAAGTCAGGTTCCAGCTCAGGTGGTGGCGGATGAACATTTTCAAAGGTGTTCCATTCGCGTGATTCGGTCTCTCTCATTTCTATACCATTACACGTTCGAACTGCTACTTTCCCTTTTTTGCGATTAAATTCCGGTCTGCGCATGAGCAGAATCCGTGGAAGAATATCAGTAAACACTCTCCGAACCCAAGGCGACATTTTATGTGTTGTCGGAGTTTTAAAATGTATGTGTAACGTATAGACCGTCAAAAATATAGACATAGTCACTACTAACATAATAAACAATAAATACTTTCCTATTAACGGAATCTCTAATGATGTTGGCGGATTAATATCAGAAAGTAAAAGGAAGAACACAGTTAATGCCAGTAAAATACTGATAGATAATGTAATTTTTTCTCCACTGTCGGAAGGTAAATAAAACACCAATATTGTCAAACAAGATATTGATATACATGGCATTATAAGGTTTAAAGTGTAGAAGAGGGTTCGCCTTTTTATAGTAACGTTAAACGTTATATCCGGATAAGGCTCGGGGCAACAAGGATAAAATTTCACTTTTCGTCTGGCCGTAACATTTATTATATCCCACTCAACATTGAAATAGAAATCTTTGATGTCTATTCCCTTCAGGATTATTTTTTCACCTCCAGGCTGTTCGATTCCATCACAGAAATGTTGTAAATCCACTTCCGTACCGTCATATGACCAGGAACCAAACTTGAGAAAGCATTCTTGCATGTCAAAAGGAAAGTAAGCCATGGCAATTGGGCAGTAACTTTTATAAATACCGGGCGGTTCCCAGACTATTCTACCCGTATTATATACGGTAGCTTTAGTTAATAACGTTATCACAAAATCACCATCAGCACTGGAAATAGAGAATAAAATAGAACAAAGTTTAGGTTAGCAAATTTTGATGGTGATTTAGTTGCTTAATGTCAAAAATATTGAGAATGCAAAAAGAAAAAAGAAAAGATTTATACCTTCTTACTATAAAAGTGGGTATGGGGTTCATTTGAACATATTCTTTATTAATATTAAAAGATTTGAATGAACAATCAAGTATCGAAATCCACAGTTCATATCTGTTCTTGGACCCTATATTTCAAAAGTGTACTTAGTACAAATTAAAAAATCTCCGTAGAGGTTCAGGACAATCCGTTGCATTTATGTATTGCAGATTTCTATTTCCAGTTATACACCTACTAAACATAAATATAAAAGCTATTCTTACTTATTGTATAGAAGTATGTCAGGTCTCCACAGATCATCTGATGGAATATGTAATTTATCTACACCACCATAATCATCAGGGTTCCATTTCAATCTTCCATCATACCATTCCTGATCATATCAAGAAAACATTAGCCTGTAAATCTCATGCTACATAATCTATATATAATATAAACATCTATCATATTTACTGTCTTGTTTCCATGTCATCATGGAAGCCATTTTATTTCAATTCCGAAACGCATCCATTTCAGTTTAAAACATGTCGGCGTTTATGCTCCATTACATCTAATTTACCAACTATTATCTTGTAAGTTAAATAAGCACAACATTTTTTAGCGAAACGAATTGGTATTATTTCGTTCTAATTTAAATCACCTGTCGACAATCTCTCTATGTATATTTTGACTATTTTTTACCCGTTGCCAATTTTCGCTGTTCACATTAAAGGGTTTAGACCTGGTTCAGTCTATAAGCACTAAATGCTTATTGGTACCACTTAAAGCCCCAACATACCAGAATAAAGGTTCAATATAGATTTTAACGCCATGTACAATCACAAATATTCTTTTAAAACCAAAAACAAGAAATTATTTTTTATTTTAATCGAATCTACCCAATTCCACTTAAGTTATAACCATTTATTTTTAAATTGCCTTCTATTGATTTCACAACACCATTTTTTATCGTTCTTACATGCCAGCCCATTCTAATTGATTTGCTTAATTGCTTTATAACCACAGTCATTACATTAAAAATAGCATATAATTTGGAATTTAGAACTATATATGAACGAAATGTAGCCTATTGCACCTTTAAAGTGACGTTGTAAGTTTCATAGATGAATAAAATGGAGCATTCTTTAAAAAAAAAAAAAGATAACTTCGAACATCTTGTAAAATGAACTTCTAGTGAGGTGTGCAAACTTGTAAGTTTATTCTTCAGTCAGAAATAATGTGAAGTGTTCATTGCGAAAGCTAAATCCCTTGATAACACATGGACTTATTTTGACGAAATGCATCATTTTCTAAAATGCATCATCAATTTTAATCACTTGAACGGGTGATGCACTGTTTCTGTCTTATATAAAATGAACCCTATAGTCAAGAATCCCTTTAACACTTTCATATTAATCTAAAGAGTGGGATGGGATATAAGTTAATAGAACCAGCATACAAACTTCCGTTATACTGCGCGCCTTCTTAACTTAGTTTCGTTTCTTAAATGTTAATAGTTACAGTTTCTGTAATGAAATAGCCTCCTGCTGTTTCTATTTGTTCTGTTTTAAGTTAATGAGAAATGCTATGTTTTGAATTCTAATTTTGCGTAAAGTACTAGCACATAGACGTTCTTTAATTAATGTCATTATATTAGCCTCCTGTATTAATTAAATTGATTTATTATTTTGAATTTGCAACACATGGTGAACTTTATTTCATTTCACTCTGACTCGGTGCCCAACACATGTAGCTCTTTAATGAACCTTAATCAATAGTTTGTTCAGACTAAATGTTTGGAGCTTTTCACCTGGGAGAAAGAAGACATTTACAATATGCATACTCTCTTAAAGTATTCCCAGAAGAGCTGTGCATTGATACCGATCTCGTTGGCTGGCTTATCGAGAGAATTGCCATTATAAAAACACTTTCTTGAGAAAAATGCATCGCTCTCTTTTAATGCACCTGCTAATGGTGTCATATTTCATTTTCTACTTGGTAAAACCAAATAACAAGAACACTTATTAGTGGTTTGGTGATTTATATAGAGATAGTTTCCTTGCTAGCAGAAAAGATACAAGTTTTTGAACTCCAAGGAATAAATAGGGGCTGTATGAAGGGTTAAGGGTCATAACGACTTCTCAAGTTGTCGTTTAGATAGGACACACTCAATACAAATTTCACGTATATTTTCCATCACGGTGGTTGAATACTTTGTGACAGTGTTCGTCATCTTTCTAGCTCGACATTTCCCAACAGAGAAAAACCCGAATTTCGGGAGGAGGTGGGGTGGGGTGTTGAATGCTGATCTTGCATGAGGAACAAGATACTATGGGGGCAACATTTATATCGTTAGGAGGCGTGGAACATCCTACATTCTATTTGTAGCACGTATGAGCGGTAATATATATTTGACACTGGTTGAGATACGATTATAAAGTAATGAAGATCTGAATCTGCACATGAAAGTTTATGTCAAAAATTCCAGACGAGCACAAAGAGTCCCAGGCGAGAAAATCCATTGAAATCACGTGATTCTTTTTGTCATTTGAGAGTAACCACAGAAACACTAAACCCATGACACAAAGTGCGCCATTATGCCCTACCCCCTTTCGCCCCTGGCACAAAGTAAATAACATGATTTGTTTAATCTTAATAAAAGATTTACTTACATGTCTCAACCACACACTGATTATCATAATCTGATTCTTTTCACTCTGGAATAAAGATAAAAACTACATTAAAATCCCATACAAGTTCAAAAAGGCATGCCTGGATGTTTGGATGATAGAAGCGTAGCTTTGGTTAACCAGAATTTAAAAACACAAAAAACTTTATGAAATAGAACCACTCGTTGCGATGTTTCGACAAGTGTTATTGTGCCTGAAAACGATAAGAGACACCGAAACGTCGTGCTATAACAAAGTAGCCATTGAATTCCATATGGTCATTGTGTTTTTAAGGTGCTCAATTGCTAAAGTCATTCAAAGATTAGAAATACAATGTCTGGTGTTTCTACCTTAGTGAAGAAAGGTGAGGATGGGGCGGTAATGGTTGTCATCAAACGTTTATTTCATCAAACATAGTATAGTATGGCTTTTAATGTTTATTGAATCATACATGATACAGTTGAAAAGGTTTATTTTCTGACTGTTATCAAAGTTTACCCAATCATACATGGTATTAGATGAAAGAGCCTTTAATGTTTGTTATCAAACGTTTATTTCAACATACATTGTACAGTTGAACGAGGTTCATCAAACATAGTATAGTATGGCTTTTAATGTTTATTGAATCATACATGATACAGTTGAAAAGGTTTATTTTCTGACTGTTATCAAAGTTTACCCAATCATACATGGTATTAGATGAAAGAGCCTTTAATGTTTGTTATCAAACGTTTATTTCAACATACATTGTACAGTTGAACGAGGTTTTAATGTTTGTTATTAATGTTTGTTATGGTATAGTTGAAAGAGCTTTTAAGATTTGTTATTAAATGTTCAGTGAATCATACATTGTATTGTTGAAAGAGGTTTTAAGGTTTGTTATTTTAATAACAAACCTTAAAACCTCTTAAAACATTTGAAAATGTTTAGGGAATCATACATGGTATAGTTGAAAGAGGTTTTAAGATTTGTTATTAAATGTTCAGTGAATCATAATGGTATAGTTGAAAGAGGTTTTAAGGTTTGTTATTAAATGTTTAGGGAATCATAATGGTATAGTGGAAAGAGGTTTTAAGGTTTGTTATTTAATAGTTTTGGGAATCATACATGGTATAGTCGAAAGGTACGAGAACATTAACAATAGAGAAAAAAACTGCCTTTCATCATGATTATTAGGTCTACTTTCATATTTCAACTAATGTTCGAACATTCTTTAGTTTAACTATTCTAAGTAAAGAAACTGAATTATAATCTGAAAATATTCGCCGTTATCTATACATTAAATGTTTATTACTCAGAAAGACGATAAGGTGTATTATTCTGTAAGGTGTACTATGTTCTCTAATATCTATACAACACTTATTTATGTGCTAGTGTGTGCTATTTTATCGAGTTCTCTTAATTTACATGAATTAAGGAAAATGCAGATAACGGAATAATCTTTTTCTCCACTTTTCCAACCCATTTACATTCCTCCCATAGTCTGGCTGCAATCTTGAATCAACTATAACATATATTAATTTAATAACATGGTGATTTGTCCAACACCTAATGTGCAAAATTATGACAGCTTTAGTGATGAAAGAAGCATAAATAGGCTATCATATATGGTTATTATCATTAAACGAATGGTATTAAGATGACTGTAAGTCGTATAACCGGTGTTCGATGGAAGATTATCGATTCTGGCATTACCGTTAATAAACATAGTATTCCTTTTCCTGACTAAATATTCATTGAGATTTGTAACAAAAGTGTTCATTGATCCACTACGGTCTAATGAACGCCAACGAAACAAATTACCCTAACAAGTAGGCTTATTATCATATAAAACAGCTAGTTTTGAACATGATATCTTTTCTCCTTTCGGTTGTAATCGGTAATAAGTTAATCATGGAAAAGAAAAACGGTCTTAGATATTTTTTTGTTTTATCTTAATGGCTGTTTTTTTTACGCGTGATATAGTAAATATTGGACTGTAGTATATTACCAAATTATACTAATTATTGTTAGCCATAAAAATAGACACCTCATTTGACAAAATCAGTCAAGTGGAAATATACGATCTGATTAATTTTCCCAATTTTACTGCCGTTGTCCTAAAGATCGCCATAAAATTTCAATATCAGAAACGACCCAGTTTGTTTTACTGATAATAAAAGAATAACAGAATAGTTCTCACATAAAGAATCTCGCTCAAAGGGCTACGATGTCGACCGGCTCCTAACATACTAGAAACACAGTTAAATTGACACTTATGGTAGTGTTAGATCAGTGTTCACCAGTAGAAATGATGTTCGATCTTGTAGCAACCGAATCTTTTTCATTTATGTGAAAACGATTTGATTCGATAAAGCTGTTTTATTTTGATTAGTCATTTGAGCAATCCCGGTACATTTAAACGTTCGAGCAATCAATTCTTTGTTATAAACAAAGACTGAAACAACTCATAGTGATATATACACATTAACTGAATCTAAATCAGATCTCAAGCAAAACGGCTCCGCAAATTTCATTTTCAAGGTTTTGTTTACGTTGAAAAAATCTCATGTGGAATCTCCACAAATTAGAGAAGGGGACCAATCTTACAATACATTGTCAAAATCCAAACAAAGGACCAAATTCCGATTCGGGATTTTTTTTATATATTCAAGTACAACCACAATTGGTGTATTTTTAAGAGACTATATATTACAGTTCGAACTTATTTTATTTGCAAGTGACATCAAGAAACAAGAACGCATACCCAGATGTTCAATATAAAATAGTCTTTAAAAATTAAATAATGCAGCGATAGGTCTATTAGATTATCTCGTCCTGCTGCAGGTCACAGGTACTAAGACTACTCGTTATTCAAATGAACTTGCAACAAGTTAGATTTATGACGTAAAAAAGAATCTAGCGGAGAACATTTAGTAGGGTAATCAAAGGGGCTTAAATTACGCTAATAATCACAACGAAACGCGCAACAGTTCAAATGGGGGGAAAGGCCTGGGGGAAAACACTAGTTTTATTGGACGAACAGATCTAATCGATCTAACTAGGGATAAATTTAACATTGATCACTTAGTTAATGAGTGACTTGCATCGCTTCTTTAGATTCACAGCATTTGCCATTCACTAGATCCTTTAAATAATGAATTACGAGAACACATTCTCAATCGTTTACTCTTTTTATAAAGCAATATTAGGGTTTTTTTCTTCTTAGAAAATGCATCTTAAGGAAATTCAACAAGCATCGTGAATGAACGATATTTTAAGATGAAGGAAATAGGAAGAAAAGAAGTGACTTTTAACAGTGAGGTTAAATTGGTCATTAATTGCCTGATTTCCCACAACGTCCATCAAAATTACCTCTTAATTTTTGCAGCATGTCCAATGACATCCCAGTGATGTTTGTTATAATTCTGGTAGACACGTTATTTGAGAAAATTCAAACTATGTGTATGCGTGTATCAATTTTAACCCACAATGATTAGTAATTGTATTTACGAACTAAATAAATCATATTCTGCTAGTTTAAACAATCTTATTCGATTTATTTACCATTTTACTCCCAGTTACATTGATAAAGAGCTGACAGTTCTCACTATAATAGTTAAAGATAATGTAACTGGGATATTTGGAAAATATCAGTCAAATTACTTCATTCTAAGCCGATAAATACTCATTTTAAAAACCTTGCAGCCTCAAATGCCATTGTTGCCGTAGTGACGAAAATAAAAAAAAGTCTCGATTATCCACTTTTGAGTTTAATCACCAATTGCTGATGAACGGTAGATCTGATTCAAATCTAATGAAAATCGGAAGCATCAGATGGCATGGTCTTGTCATGTTGATAAATATCTAATTAATAATTTATATAACATTTAAGATTTAGCTCTTGCGTAATATATGTTTAACAATTAGCGACGCGCGTCTCCATCATTCCAACAGCAACACAAAGTCAGAAAATGAAACTGCAAAGAACTGGAACCAACACCCAAGAAAATATCGAAGTTTCTTTTTTCACCCGCTAAAATCTACTGCCCAGATAGGTTATTTACAACCAAAGTATGAGCCGTTGATATTCTATCTGCATGGATTCATTCGGATTAAAGGGGGTGGGGATGGATAGCCGAATGGTTAGCGTGTGCGCGTTGTATCATAAGGTCTATCACTGAGTCAACTGGCGTGGTTTCGATTCCCCGGTTGTACGGAACAAGGAGTAAGGTCGCCTGTGGGCCTGTCCAACCTTGTGGGTTTTCTTCAGGTCCTCCGGTCTCCTCCCACTGCTAAAGACCCCAACGCGAAGCGAATTATTGAATTAAAATTGAACAATATGTTAGTCCCGAAATGACTTAGTTTGTGTCGAGTGGACGTTAAATCCCGTTTTTCTCTCTCTCCTCTCCTCCCCTCTATCTCTTTCTCATTCGGATTAAAGCGACCTATCTAAAGATTTAACTTAACACTATAGGTGACGCAAGCGTGTTTAAATCGCTTGCAAAGAATGGCGAATGCTACTAAATTTTCATTTAATCAAATCCTTGTAAATACTGAACGGTATTACAATGTTTTGGATAATAAATAGTCCTAAAGATTAAAAATTCCTCAGTGGTTTTATTGAAAGACCCCCTCCCACAGGTTTTGTTTGTACTTTTCATCTAACGGAGAAGTCATCCATCTTAATCAGATAATATCTTATAATTATCTTTCGCATCTCTGACATAAGAGAACAGTAGCTTTCGTCAGCTAAATAAGAACAGTACCTGAAGCGGAAATGACCTCAGATTACATGCGGGAACTATTAAATTAAAACCTGCCTAACATGCTTCGGTCACATGTTCTAACATAGTTTCAGGAAAACGTGTTTACCGTTCAATAGTTCCAGCCAAGTAGGAAGAAAAAATTACAATCTTACATCAATGGAATTAAACGGTAAATAAAATTACTACCTTCAAGCCAAATAGTGCCAAATAAAATGGCGATTTTGAGCTCAGTTTCAAAGTTTTATCTAGTCTGTGAGAAGAATGATGAACTGAGAAGGCTACTAAAAACATCATAAACAC